TTTTTGCCGTATGAGTATACGTTGCCCAGGGTGCACCACGTGGAGGTAAGTCTATCGCACACCCCAGCCTCATAAGTGACTTTGTGGCATCAACGCCATGATAGCCACTCTACCCAGTGCATACCTTACGCCTTTCTCTCTATTTCTGTATTGTGTCGTAAACAGTAATACCTCCTATGACATTTCCTTCTCTTATCTGCTTTTCCCACTCCTCAATTTTGGTCAGCCAGATCTGCTATTTTCGAGGCCTTTACTCATCTCAGACTTCCTCGTTATTGATTTCTCAGCCTTCCACTTAACAGCAGATGAAGCAAATGAGTTATAAGTTATTTCTTCTGCTCAATTGTGTTTTTCAAATTCAAAGGTCCGTTGCAGGTGAATGTGGTTCTTTGATCAATTCACCTTTGCTCGAGCGCGTTTTCAACTGTAGTTAAGGTGCTGTTGTATTTCACAGACCAATAGCGTGACCTTTATCTGGGAAGCTTCTTGTTCTGGCTTTTGTGCTTTAATTTCTCATGGTTTCTTTGCTTAAATTCCAGACGACGGATATTGCCAAAATGCGCTTTTTGGATTCTCGAATTCCTCAAAGTGGTGCAATGTGGAGTTGGAGCAACTGGTTGATTCGGACTACAAGCCTATAGTGAGGCCTCTCTGTATGGAGAAGAAATTAGCGAATGAGGTCTTCAATGTCACCTGTTCGAAATCAGTGGTGAACTTCGCGTCATTTCAAGCCCTCTATTTCGTCACGGGATGTGTTATTTGCATTTTACTCCTTGTGGCTCTCTGGGTTCTCATTCGCAAGTCTGCGAGCCGCAAACAGCCTTACGATGCCGTAAATGCCGCTTAAACGGGCATTATTTAAATTGATCTCCTTTGTCGTCTGAACCCCCCCCCCCCCCCAACATCTCCAAAAATACTAGTCATTCTACACTTAAACACAGCTGTGCATCAATTTATATATGTAGGTGTATTTTATAATTATGGACATTACAACGAGACGCTTCTCTTCAATCCTTGCACTTTCTTTCCCATTGAACCTGTGTGGTTGCCGGAATCTGGTGCTATTTTTAATTCTTATTGTGTCTCTGAATTAAACTTCCAATCAACTCTCTATTTTATGACATTTGCTAAAGGTCTATCTGCTGTCGTTTTAGTTCACAGCGAGGTTCACACTATTGCCATTATCTTTAATTGAATTTTTTTCCGTCAGTTTATCAGGGTAGTTATTTTGCAACAGAATTCACTTTTTCGGGTTTAAAATTGGTTGGAACTTGTCCCATGGAATTGGCGCTCAGGAGAATACCTATTTATGTCAAATTGAGGGGTGTGCGATAGACTTACTTCCACGTGGTGCACCCTGGGCACCCTGCTGAAGCCTCTCAGAGTTATTCTTTCAAGAAATCCGACACGAAGCCTTTGCCAAAGTTGAGGAACACTCGGCATTTGTAAGACTCTTGATGTGGCCGGATTTTGGTCCATAAAATTCCTAGCTGATTATTACGTTGACCAAGCGAAGATCTCTTCGGCATTACAAAGCCATCGATGTCTCTTCGGCCAATATTTACAAAACGTTTTCGTCCACACATACCTCAATGTCTCCAGTCGAAGTGCCCTATGCGCAGAGGGTTTGGATTAAATGCAAATGGGCTAAACATTACTACATCTTTAATGAGACCTGTGCTTCATCTCCATATCAGCCTTGAGATAAGTCTTTCTGGATTGGATTAACTTGTTGTTATTCGTTCCATCTAAAAAAATACGTTTTGCTTTCCTCGGCTAATTTGATGGGTTACCATTGCGCAATGACAACCTTTCAATCATGGAAATGGCCAACTGTTTAGTAGATGATTCATTTCCAGATAAACACGCCCACCCCTTTTTGCATTCATCTCTCAAAGCAGGGAGTGGTTGTCTTAGTGCTAATTTGGTTTTCAAGGCAGTTCAACACGCATGGTCATGGGCATTTATTTATTTAAATTAAATGGTAGGCGTTTTGATAGTTATCATCAGCGTTTGGGGTGTGCGATAGACTTACCTCCACGTGGTGCATCCTGGGCAACGTGCATTCATACGGCAAAAAGTCTATTGACTGGCAGTTAACTTCTCACTTCGAACTACCATCACCTCTACTGGCAGTTGACTTCTCACTTCAAACTACCATCACCCCTCACTGGCAGTTGCTTTCTGACTTCAAACTACCATCACCCCACCGTAAACCGGCAGTTGACTTCTGACTTCAAACTACTATGGTCCGACTATAGTTAACTTCTCACTTCGAACTACCATCACCTCTCTCTATGCCATATTCGACTATTTACACAGTACTCACCTCACCTTCGTTCCACCTTTGTGTTTGTCTCTTACATCTTTGAATCACTCTTCTGTTCCCCCTCTCGATTTTTTTCAATTCGATGTTCCTTGTCCCCTCTGTGAAGCGTGAAGTCAACTAAAGGGCTAATGATAACCATCAAGACGCCTGCCATTTGATATAAATAAATCATCAGCGCTTTAGTTGACTTCGGACTTCATGGAGGGGAGGAACATCAAAGTGAAAAAACAGTTGAGAATGGGGAAGAGAAGAGTAATTCAAAGATGTAAATAGACAGACCGACAAAAAGGCGGAGAAAAGGAGAACTGAGTGCTGTGGAAGTGGTTGAATATGGCACACAGTTGGGTAATGGTAGTCTGAAGTGAACTGCCGGTTAATCGACTTATTTGCCGTATGAGTTTACGTTCCCCAGGGTGTGCACCACATAAAGATAATGGTAAGGAATATCATTCGCCTAATAAGTTAACGAGAGTTGATTTTAAAACAGAGGGTGGGGATGCGCATTGTGATCGTCCGAAGTTTCTGACATTGATAGAAGTGCTGAGGGGTGATGTACTGACTCAATTTAATTAGCATAATAATATGGTAATTAAATGTGTAAGTCTAAGAAGTGCTAGTAAAGTAGACCAATGTCGGAAAGAAGTGAAATCTTTTCGATTTTGAAATTCTCATGTTGGCAAGTCGGGCGAGTATTTTTGCACATGTGCAGTCGAGATTGGTATGACCTTTGTGCGAATATAAATTTTTCTCCTAGCCTGACATTTAGGCGAATAAGAGAGTACAAATCATTTGGACAGCAATTTGTAACCCCTTTCTCACGTGCTAACAGTCCAGATGCTTCTTGTAGTAGGTGCGACACAGAGAGGGAGAAACGGGTGCAAAGCGTCAACATCGAGAAATGCCAGTAAGTGAGACTTGTGAGGCCTTGTTCCTCGAGTGCACAGGAGCATTGGTAATTGGACATGTGTGCGAGTATCTATGACAAATGGCAGGCGTTTTGATGGTTATCATTAGCCCTTTAGTTGACTTCAGGCTTCAAAGAGGGGAAGGAACACCAAAGTGAAAAAAAGTGGAGAGGGGGGGGGGACAGATGAGTGTTTCAAAGACGAAGGTAGAAAAAGAAGTGAGGTGGGTACTATGGCAGTGGTCGACTATGACATACAGTCGGGTCATGGTAGCTTAAATCAGAAGTCAACTGCCGGTTAATAGACTTTTTTGCCGTATGAGTATTCGTTGCCCAGGGTTCACCACGTGGAGGTAAGTCTCGCACACCCCTTATTGGCTAATATAATGACCAGTCATTTATCATGCAACAAATTTATAGTCTTCATAACGAGACTCTTGTTTAAAACTAATGTCCTCCAAGTGGAGTGTGAGTATGGTAGGTCTATAGAACCCAAGTGCTCTATAGATGAACAATTTCAACTTCCTTCTCACGAATTCGTGAATGCTGGGAAAGCTATACCTTGGGCAAATTTTGAGCCAAGTTTGGTTGTCATCTCTGGAAAGTGTGCACTCGACAAGTAATTGAAAGCGGAGTGATACATAAAGTGGGCACTTCATAGAGATCAGCTATAGCAGGTGACTGAATATAAATTGGGGTGGTTATGTGGAGGCTTTTATTTACCTTCTATTGCACATAATGTTCATACACCAAACCTAGATATTCCATTTGACGTTTTTAGTGACGTCGCCTACAACACACACGGGCTTAGTAACCTAACCCACTTATCTTGCGTGAAGCCTTATGGCGTAGTCACTTCGCATCAGTTCCCTCCCCCCTCAATTCTCAAATTCAAGGACGACTTTTGACAAGTTTTAAGCGAGTGAGAAGGTATTATTGCACTCAAAAGCAATCCCACCTGTCAGCAATGCCAGAGGGCAGAACAATAAGTGTGTGTTTGAATGCGCTGAATGTGCAAGTTTGAAGGAAAGTCGACTCGAAGGTGCTTGATTTGATGATTCTGGAGCTCAGGTGAAGCAGGGTTCGCCTGACTCGGCTTCTCGCTCCAAGAGAGAGAGAGAGAGCATCCATCTCCTTGAATGGAGGAGGAGGTGGGTAGGGGGAGAAGAATTGTGGCCATTGTTTTTGCTTTGCCATGAGAACTGAAAGACTTGAAGTTGGAGGGAATTTCTATCGCTGCAACTCAGCGATTCCAAGAGTATCTGTGCTAATTTGATCAGATGATTTCAGTGAATTTCTCGCCTTGGAGAGCATTAAAATGGGACGTCTATTATGCAGCATAAATTTCAATAAAAAACATAGTCGAATGTATGTTCTGATGGGGGGGGGGTTGTAATTGTGGTGTGGACATCACATTTAATTATTATTATTGTCTATTGTTAGGCCAGTCTTAAGCTTTGCTACTCCATGAAAAGGTGGTGAGGTCACAGTCCTCAAAGCAATTCAAAAAACCAAAGATGCCAATTTGAGGTGGAATTTGCTGGGGCCTTCGCGTTTGCGCATGCCTCGATATCACGTTACAGGGGATTCCTACCTCCCTATTCTTTCCGTTTGAAAGGTGTGGAGTAATTGACAAAAACACTTTAACGTCTACCACTTTTGTTAGATCTCTTGAGGCAAAATGTTGACATGGATTTGAGAGAAATTGACTTCCCTTTTAAAAGGCGAGTGTCTATCCTATTCATTAGGATCAAGTAGTGATTGTATATTGAACAGATTAAGGGCTTGCCAGAGCTTCAGTTCACTTGTGTGTGTGTGTGTGTTGGGGTGATATTGACTCTGGATGAAGTGGTACAGTGACACAGAGCATCAACTTTTGATCAAATACTTGTCTGTCAATGCGAATTACAGTCGTGGTGGCACATTTGCGTAGAATTGTCGCTTTAATTACCAGCCTACAATCGCAGCATTTAACGTAAGCGCAAAGATGCGCTACTGAGACGCGAAAATTCATATTCATAGAACCGCATATTCCTCATTTTATTACCTCCCCCCTTCCCTTCCAGTCCAGGTATTTTAAGAGCCAATGGTAGGTGCAATTTATTGAGTACACAACCCAAGTTAGGCTGAACGTGGAAATGTCCAAAAATGCATGCGCTGGCGTTGCAAGGAGGTGCAGAGACATCTCGGCGAATCAACAGTCGCTGCAACTTGGCGTAGCTCCAAGCGCATTTTAATGACTAGACATTTGTGCCATTGTCACGTGATCCGAGTAAACGCACTTTGCTCCGTACGCTCAGCCACCACCCACCCCCCTACCCCCCCCCCCGCATTGATGCTGGCAGTTGAGGTAACTTGGCTAATTTCACGAACCATTTTGTACTTGGGCATTGCTGCGCGCTTTTGGTTTGGCCGACGTGTGGAATAGTAGCTTATCTAATGGGCTTCTTATTTTCAAGTGACAGGCGTTTTGATAGTTATCATTAGACCTCTAGCTGACCTCGGGCTTCATAGAGAGGAAAAGGAACATCATAGTGACAAAAAGTCGGGAGGGGGGACAGAATAATGAATCACAGATGTAAATGAGACAGACAGACACAAAGGCAGAGAAAAG